GGTGAAGACAGTAGTGAGGTTGGTGAGAAGACTAGTAAGGTGGTGAAGACAGTAGTGGAGGTGTGGTGGTGGATGAAGACAGTAGTTAGAGGTGTGGTGGTGAAGACAGTAGTAGAGGTGTGGTGGTGAAGACAGTAGTAGAGGTGTGGTGGTGAAGACAGTAGTAGAGGTGTGGGTGGTGAAGACATAGTAGAGGTGTGGTGGTGAAGACATGTAGTAGAGGTTGGTGGTGAGACTGAGTAGAGGTGTGGGTGAAGACGTAGTGGAGTGTGGTGGTGAAGACAGTAGTAGAGTTGTGGTGGTGAAGACATGTAGTAGAGGTGTGGTGTTGAAGACAGTAGTAGAGGTGTGGTGGTGAAGACAGTAGTGGAGGTGTGGTGGTGAAGACAGTAGTGAGAGGTGTGGTGGAGAGACAGTAGTGGAGGTGTGGTGGTGGTGACAGTAGTAGAGGTGTGGTGGTGAAGGACTGTAGTAGAGGTGTGGTGGTGAAGACAGTAGTGGAGGTGTGGTGGTGAAGACAGTAGTAAGGTGTGTGGTGTGAAGACAGTAGTAGAGGTGTGGTGGTGAAGACATGTAGTAGAGGTGTGGTGGTGAAGACTGTAGTAGAGGTGTGGTGGTGAATGACTGTAGTAGAGGTGTGGTGGTGAAGACAGTAGTGAGGTGTGGTGGTGAAGACAGTAGTGGAGGTGTGGTGGTGAAGACAGTAGTGGAGGTGTGGTGGTGAAGACAGTAGTGGAGGTGTGGTGGTGAAGGACTGTAGTAGAGGTGTGGTGGTGAAGACTGTAGTAGAGGTGTGGTGGTTGGTGACAGTAGTAGAGGTGTGGTGTGAAGACTGTAGTAGAGGTGTGGTGGTGGTGACAGTAGTAGAGGTGTGGTGGTGAAGACTGTAGTAGAGGTGTGGTGGTGAAGACAGTAGTGGAGGTGTGGTGGTGAAGACAGTAGTGGAGGGTGGTGGTGAAGACAGTAGTGGAGGGTGGTGGGGTGGTGACAGTAGTAGAGGTGGTGGTGGTGAAGACAGTAGTGGAGGTGTGGTGGTGAAGACAGTAGTGGAGGTGTGGTGATGAAGACAGTAGTGGAGGTGTGGTGGTGAAGACAGTAGTGGAGGTGTGGTGGTGAAGACAGTAGTGGAGGTGTGGTGGTGAAGACAGTAGTGGAGGTGTGGTGGTGAAGACAGTAGTGGAGGTGTGGTGGTGAAGACAGTAGTGGAGGTGTGGTGGTGAAGACAGTAGTAGAGGTGTGGTGGTGAAGACTGTAGTAGAGGTGTGGTGGTGAAGACAGTAGTGGAGGTGTGGTGGTGAAGACTGTAGTGGAGGTGTGGTGGTGAAGACAGTTAGTGGAGGTGTGGTGGTGAAGACAGTAGTGGAGGTGTGGTGGTGAAGACAGTAGTGGATGTGTGGTGGTGAGACTGTAGTAGAGGTGTGGTGGTGAAGACAGTAGTTTAGGTGTGGTGGTGAAGACAGTAGTGGAGGTGTGGTGGTGAAGACAGTAGTGGAGGTGTGGTGGTGAAGACAGTAGTGGAGGTGTGGTGGTGAAGACAGTAGTAGAGGTGTGGTGGTTGAAGACTGTAGTAGAGGGTGGTGGTGGAAGACAGTAGTAGAGTGTGGTGGTGAAGACAGTAGTGGAGGTGTGGTGGTGAAGACAGTAGTGGAGGTGTGGTGTGTGGTGACAGTAAGTAGAGGTGTGGTGGTGAAGACTGTAGTAGAGGTGTGGTGGTGAAGACAGTAGTGGAGGTGTGGTGGTGAAGACAGTAGTGGAGGTGTGGTGGTGAAGACAGTAGTGGAGGTGTGGTGGTGAAGACAGTAGTGGAGGTGTGGTGGTGAAGACAGTAGTAGAGGTGTGGTGGTGAAGACTGTAGTAGAGGTGTGGTGGTGAAGACAGTAGTGGAGGTGTGGTGGTTGAAGACTGTAGTGGAGGTGTGGTGGTGAAGACAGTATAGTGGAGGTGTGTGGTGAAGACAGTAGTGGAGGTGTGGTGGTGAAGACAGTAGTGGATGTGTGGTGAAGACTGTAGTAGAGGTGTGGTGGTGAAGACAGTAGTTTAGGTGTGGTGGTGAAGACAGTAGTGGAGGTGTGGTGGTGAAGACAGTAGTGAAGGTTGTGGTGGTGAAGACAGTAGTGGAGGTGTGTGGTGAAGACAGTAGTAGAGGTGTGGTGGTGAAGACTGTAGTAGAGGTGTGGTGGTGAAGACAGTAGTAGAGGTGTGGTGGTGAAGACAGTAGTGGAGGTGTGGTGGTGAAGACAGTAGTGGAGGTGTGGTAGTGGTGACAGTAGTAGAGGTGTGGTGGTGAAGACTGTAGTAGAGGTGTGGTGGTGAAGACAGTAGTGGAGGTGTGGTGGTGAAGACAGTAGTGGAGGTGTGGTGGTGAAGACAGTAGTGGAGGTGTGGTGGTGAAGACAGTAGTGGAGGTGTGGTGGTGAAGACAGTAGTGGAGGTGTGGTGGTGAAGACAGTAGTGGAGGTGTGGTGGTGAAGACAGTAGTGGAGGTGTGGTGGTGAAGACAGTAGTAGAGGTGTGGTGGTGAAGACAGTAGTTTAGGTGTGGTGGTGAAGACAGTAGTGGAGGTGTGGTGGTGAAGACAGTAGTGGAGGTGTGGTGGTGAAGACAGTAGTGGAGGTGTGGTGGTGAAGACAGTAGTGGAGGTGTGGTGGTGAAGACAGTAGTGGAGGTGTGGTGGTGAAGACAGAAGTGGAGGTGTGGTGGTGAAGACAGTAGTAGAGATGTGGTGGTGAAGACAGTAGCGGAGGTGTGGTGGTGAAGACAGTAGTGGAGGTGTGGTGGTGAAGACAGTATGGAAGTGTGGTGGTGAAGACAGTAGTGGAGGTGTGGTGGTGAAGACATAATAGAGGTGTGGTGGTGAAGACAGTAGTGGAGGTGTGGGTGGTGAAGACAGTAGTAGAGGTGTGGTGGTGAAGACAGTAGTGGAGGTGTGGTGGTGAAGACAGTAGTGGAGGTGTGGTGAAGACAGTAGTAGAGGTGTGGTGGTGAAGACAGTAGTGGAGGTGTGGTGAAGACAGTAGTAGAGGTGTGGTGGTGAAGACAGTAGTGGAGGTGTGGTGATGAAGACAGTAGTAGAGGTGTGGTGGTGAAGACAGTAGTGGAGGTGTGGTGTGGAACAGTAGTGGAGGTGTGGTGGTGAAGACAGTAGTGGAGGTGTGGTGGTGAAGACAGTAGTGGAGGTGTGGTGGTGAAGACAGTAGTGGAGGTGTGGTGGTGAAGACAGTAGTGAGGAGTGTGGTGGTGAAGACAGTAGTAGAGGTGTGGTGGTGAAGACAGTAGTAGAGGTGTGGTGGTGAAGACAGTAGTGGAGGTGTGGTGGTGAAGACAGTAGTGGAGGTGTGGTGGTGAAGACAGTAGTAGAGGTGTGGTGGTGAAGACAAGTGGTGTTCTCTTTCCTCTTATACAAGTGTGGGTTCTCTTTCCTCTTATGTCTTCACCACCACACCTCCACTACTGTCTTCACCACCACACCTCTACTACCGTCTTCACCACCACCCTCTACTATGTCTTCACACCACACCTCCACTACTGTCTTCACCCACCACACCTCCACTACTGTCTTCACCACCACACCTCTACTACTGTCTTCACCACACACCCCACTACTGTCTTCACCACCACACTCTCACTACTGTCTTCACCACCACACCTCCATACTGTCTTCACCACCACACCTCTACTACTGTCTTCACCACCACACCTCCACTACTGTCTTCACCACCACACCTCCATACTGTCTTCAACCCACCACACTCTACTACTGTCTTCACACCACACCTCTACTTACAGTCTTCTACCACCACACCTCTACTACTGTCTTCACCACCACACTCTACTACTGTCTTCACACCACACCTCTACTACTGTCTTCACCACCACACCTCCACTACTGTCTTCACCACCACACCTCTACTACAGTCTTCACCACCACACCTCTACTACTGTCTTCACCACCACACCTCTACTACTGTCTTCACCACCACACCTCCACTACTGTCTTCACCACCACACCTCTACTACTGTCTTCACCACCACACCTCTACTACTGTCTTCACCACCACACCTCCACTACTGTCTTCACCACCACACCTCTACTACTGTCTTCACCACCACACCTCTACTACTGTCTTCACCACCACACCTCCACTACTGTCTTCACCACCACACCTCTACTACTGTCTTCACCACCACACCTCTACTACAGTCTTCACCACCACACCTCTACTACTGTCTTCACCACCACACCTCTACTACTGTCTTCACCACCACACCTCTACTACAGTCTTCACCACCACACCTCTACTACAGTCTTCACCACCACACCTCCACTACTGTCTTCACCACCACACCTCTACTACAGTCTTCACCACCACACCTCCACTACTGTCTTCACCACCACACCTCTACTACTGTCTTCACCACCACACCTCCACTACTGTCTTCACCACCACACCTCTACTACAGTCTTCACCACCACACCTCTACTACTGTCTTCACCACCACACCTCTACTACTGTCTTCACCACACCTCCACTACTCTCTCCCTACCACACCTCCACTACTCTCTCCCTACCACACCTCCACTACTCTCTCCCCACCACACCTCCACTACTGTCTCCCTACCACTATCTTCTACTAACGCTTCCTCCACCACTATAAATCACAGTCCCCTTACCCATCCTCTACCACTGTGACTTCACCATTGTGTCCCCCCCATCACCTCCACAATGTTCCGCACTACCTCCCTCCCCCCCCCCCTCCCTTTAAATCCTCTCCTGCACGCACATCTTTATAAAGTAAAAATCCCATCATATCTTTGCTTCCCCACCTCTAACTTCCCCATCAGGTAATCATATCCTCCTTTGCACTTCCTTCCCACACCCTCCTCTCCCCACCAATTATTCCGACCTTCCATCCCCCCATCCCCATCTCCTAGGCAGCTCCCCACCCCCGCCGTTCCCCTCCCTTGCAGGTACCGGCAGATCTGAAGAACACGGCACCAGCTTGCTCTATAACATCAGTCGAGAACCAGCCGCCAGTGGAGACACACGTGTGTCTGACCTAACACCCATCCTCACTCTCCTTAAGAGATTTTAGGAGACTATCTGTGACTGGAAGTGAAAAAGTGATATTCTTAAGAGGGATTTACTGAGACGAGGGAGACTGAAGTGATTCGTGTCATCCATAAGTCGACCCACACGAGGACGTTGTTTATAAACACTGCCAGTGCTGGAAGCTCATTAACATATTTGTAAGTATCTACACCCCATTATATATATATATATATATATATATATATATATATATATATATATATATTTTATATATATATATATATATATATATATATATATATATATACACACACACACACACACACACACACACACACAGAGACACACACAATTTGAAACCATCCGTTCAAAATAATGCATTTAGTTCTACCGAAAAGCTATCAAAATTTTACTAATACTGCGAATATATAAAGCCCAGGTAAGAGCCTGTCCTTTAACCCTGAGACAGTTCTGGGTTACAACGGATCCCAAACAAACAAAAGTAAAGTTTATTAAATTACAAGTCAAATAATGAAGGTCATTCAGGAGAGTCGGATCTTGCGAGCAAAGGTCATTCTGGCTATTTTTTTTTTAATTTGAACATATGCTAGCACAGACGAACCAACGTGGATTTCCCCTTTCAAACGCGCTAAAAGAGTGTGGGCCATTCAGTACAAGGAATGAGGGAGGCTCGATCCTCCTTTAAGCATGAAACAGACACGTTACTCTAGCACTCTTTTCATCCTATGATTTGAATAGCTTACTTTAATTACACTGGTGAGTAATCAAGGTGAAAGATGCTGCGAAGATATACAGTTAGTGAAGGATGCTGTGATGTGTAGTTTGTGAAGGATGCTGTGATGTGCAGTTAGTGAAGGATGCTGTGATGTGTAGTTTGTGAAGGATGCTGTGATGTGCAGTTAGTGAAGGATGCTGTGATGTGTAGTTTGTGAAGGATGCTGTGATGTGCAGTTAGTGAAGGATGCTGTGATGTGTAGTTGAAGGATGCTGTGATGTGTAGTTTGTGAAGGATGCTGTGAAGATGTGTAGTTAGTGAAGGATGCTGTGAAAATGTACAGTTAGTGAAGGATGCTGTGAAAATGTACAGTTAGTGAAGGATGCTGTGAAGACGTGCAGTTAGTGAAGGATGCTGTGAAAATGTAGTTAGTGAAGGATGCTGTGAAGACGTGCAGTTTGCGAAGGATGCTGTGAAGACGTGCAGTTTGCGAAGGATGCTGTGAAGACGTGCAGTTTGCGAAGGATGCTGTGATGTGCAGTTAGTGAAGGATGCTGTGAAGATGAGCAGTTAAAGAATACTGTGAAGATGTGCAGTTAAAGGATGCTGTTAAGATGTGCAGTTAGTGAAGTGTGCTGTGAGGATGTGCAGTTAGTGAAGGATGCTGTGATGTGTAGTTTGTGAAGGATGCTGTGATGTGTAGTTTGTGAAGGATGCTGTGATGTGTAGTTTGTGAAGGATGCTGTGATGTGTAGTTTGTGAAGGATGCTGTGATGTGTAGTTTGTGAAGGATGCTGTGATGTGTAGTTTGTGAAGGATGCTGTGAAGATGTGTAGTTTGTGAAGGATGCTGTGAAGATGTGTAGTTTGTGAAGGATGCTGTGAAGATGTGTAGTTTGTGAAGGATGCTGTGATGTGCAGTTAGTGAAGGATGCTGTGATGTGCAGTTAGTGAAGGATGCTGCGAAGATGTACAATTAGTGAAGGATGCTGTGAAGATGTACAGTTAGTGAAGGATGCTGTGAAGATGTACAGTTAGTGAAGGATGCTGTGAAGATGTGCAGTTAAATGATGCTGTGAAGATGTGCAGTTAATGAAGGATGCTGTGAAGATGTGCAGTTAGTGAAGGATGCTGTGAAGATGTGCAGTTAGTGAAGGATGCTGTGAAGATGTGCAGTTAGTGAAGGATGCTGTGAAGATGAATTATGCCGTGAAGATGACTTGTGCAAGTCTAAGTGAAGATGAATTATACTTGTACTTCACTTAGAGTATCAGCTAAAACACACCTAGTAGAGGTGATGAATAATTACTACCACAACACTACACAATGACATACACGGAAATTAGCAATCAACTTTCAACGTGTCACGTGCAATGTTATTAAACACGGACCATCAGGAAACCGTGTTTCCCCGTGGAGCAGTCGACACAGGCATCCAGTGATCTCTCCGAAGCTTTCCACTGCCCTAGCAGCCAAATAGTGCTAGTCAACGAGCAATTAACAAAAAACATTTCCTGGAAATCACACACGCATGACCAGCTAAACAACGTCAAAATGGATCATAATGGCCACCAAATAACGTCAAGGTAAACTATTACGACCATAATGGCCACTGAACGATGTCAAAGTGAGGCTAAACGTGCCGCTACTCAATATAACAGGTAAACTAAACCTTTAGTAAGGAAAAAAACAATTGCACAAAGCAGCCCCCCCCCCCACACACAGTTGCTCCGTATTGATCAATCTATCGCGTGTGTCTTTAAACTTGCACCACTGCCGAGGTCTCTCAGCATGTGAGGCCATCACCAACAGCCTGGCTTCTCCAGACAGGGCCTCAATTAGCTTAGGGAGAATGGAGCCAGTGTCACTCCTGGAGCTGTGGCCCACTCCGAGTCATACAACACAAGCAGTGCACGATACTACATCTTCAGGTCGCTACCAGCGATACAGACACGTTGAGTATCTACGTGAGAACAAGTCAATAGTAGAAGAGAAGGAATACAGACGAGTAAGACGTGTGCAACAGCTGGGTATCTATATTCTCGACAATAAAAATACCCAGCTGTTGTATGAGTCTTTCTCACCCACTCGTCCGTATTGTAAAACATAATAGAAAGGTGTAAAGAGCGAGGCTGAAGGTGCTGCTTCACTAAGAGTCACAGCATCACCCACGCATGTACTGCCTCAGTTTATCTACCATCTAAGCACAGACCAAAATTACATCTTAGATTAGATTCCTTAAACTTTAATTATCCTAAATTTACTTACAGTTAATGGCTAATAATTACATTAAACGGGACGATAACGCCTGACGGCGGAGAACCTAACACTAAATTCCTTAGAAACTCTACGGAGTTGTTTACCACAAAACCATCCTTACTATAACTGCATGGTCAACCAAACTGTTGCATCTGTCAGCCAGGTGTGCACAGCCACCTGTGATATACATATGACAGGTTTCGAGAGGTGGTACCCCAGCAGCCATCATAGCCTGAGTGATGGAGCAGTTTCCTCTTCAAGACTCCTGCCTACCTTCCTCTCAGTAAAGTTTCTCGAGTTTCCCGCTAGTAGACTGAATTATCATTATTATTATTATTATTATAATCACAGGGAAGCGCTAAACTCGTAGAATTATACAGCGCACGTGGGGGGGGATTCAGGCTCAATTCAGGGAATTGGAGCACAGATCTAATTCCCTAGATGAAGAGCCCCTCACCAGCGTCAAGGAACCTCTCTTGAGGGGTAGTAGACTGAAGAGTCTACAATCACGGATCTCGACATTGTGTCGAGATCCGTGATCGTATCATATGATCCGTTATCCATGCCGATGATCCCTTCCCGGATTCTCAGTCAATTTATTCTACACTTCCACCAACATGATACAACGTCTCATACTTTTCACCAAGTTTATTCCACATCTTCATCAACATAAATAGAAGTCCCAGCTTTTCGGCACTTCATTCAACACTCCCACCACCATAACACTTACTCCCACCACCATAACATTTACTCCCACCACCATAACACTTACTCCCACCACCATAACCTACCTCTCACAGGGTATACAAGCTACTCAAGTACACTTAAGTAATGACATACAAATTACATTTAAGTTTTTTCATTGCTAGAGCGCGAGCGCGCACTTACAATGAGTTATATATCAATTTATTATATTAACCACAAGTCTCCAGCAACGTGTATAATTTGAAGTGTACCTGGTGTCTGTATACCTGGTGTCAGTATACCTGATGTCTATACCTGGCGTCAGTATGCGTGGCGTCAGTATACCTGGTGTCTGTATACGTGGCGTGAGTACATCTGGCGTCATTGCACAGGTGACTATCAGTCTTCAATAAGAGATAGCTGTGATACAGCCAGGACAGTTTTCGAGAGTAGTTCTACCATTGCAGGTCAGCCTAATGTTAGACTTCCTTGTTGACTACCCAGCGGCCAGCACAGCCACCCCAGCCCGGCACACCACCCATTTATAATATACACTAGTTTAGTAGATTAACTTTAAGCCTAACCAATCAACCAACACACACACACACACACACACACACACACACACACACACACACACACACACACACACGTACTTACATCTGTAGCCACCACAACAGGATCACGTTACTCCTCCAGTCCACTAACACCCACTCCACTTCATATACCAACAAATAGAAAAACATTATTATTCTATTCACAAAACGCTAAACCTGCATGACTCATCCAGCACAAAAAAAAAAAAAACAGATGTCGAGCGTATGTACACTAAAGACGGATCTAAACTCGGGCAGCTCAATCGTCAAACAATATTTTAGAGGACACTGAGGAAATATACTATGTTGACGGAAGTGAAGAATATATCACGTGGAAGGTAGGAAAGGCTACATTTTTGCTATCTGGTTTCTGGTGAATTGTTGCAGCCACGGTATTGTGACTCTCCTTATTCGTTGTGCTAGAAAATGACAATATGTACCAGTCAAGTTTGAGTGGGTACCATCTCGTTCAGCTGTAATGTTGTGTAACTACTAACATGACTCAGGTGCAGTAGATGATACATGGTTAACTTTCATTAACGTCAACGTTTCGCCCACCAAGTCCGTTAACGTTACGGTTGAAAAAAGAAGGAAGTATCCACAGCAGGTGTCATTTGCTAAATATATCATGCTACCATAGCAGGGAAGGGACAGGAAATGGAAGATATCAACACCATGGTAAAGATGGACATACAATCTACCATGGTAGACAAAATAAAATATAAAAACCATTAATGACCACATTTCGCTCACAGAGTAGTGTTTTAGAGAGACTGTCAGTAATACAAATTTTGATACCTTTATAGAGAACATTTCGGTCCTCGGAACTTAATCACTTCAAATGAAGATCCAGGGATCAAAAAGTCTTCAATAAAGGTGTTGTAAGTGAATGCACTCGTGTCCATTTCTCTCAAGCTGTCGCCAGTCATTTGTCTTATTAGTGTTTCCTAGGATAGGATAAGATAGTGATTTCCTATGGATGGTAAACATGGGGAAGAGAAGGACTGGGGTAGGATAAAGTAGCGACAAAAAAAAGAATGATTGTAGGTAGAGAGGAAGAAAGAGGTAAACAAAGGCTAAGTAACCTGACCACTTAACGAGCGTAGTGTTTGCTATATACAGTGTATCGTCCACTGTCAATATTGGTTTTATGATGTTTGGATTATAAGGCGCCATCTTCGCGTTTACTTCGTCGATGCGAGTTATTTGTGTAATGCTGTACCTTCCAGTCCTAGATTTGACTACCACGCTCGTCGCTATGTGACAAAGACCATTCTTAAAACCCACTTTAAGTCGGGTGTGAGAAGCGAGTGACAGGAGTGAAGGTGGTGGTGGTGGTGGTAAGAGGCAGCAAGTGTGGCCCATAGTAGTAGCAATATTGTTGGTGATGGCAATAGAGAAGATGCCGCCCTTGACCGCCTTACTAACATGGCGTCAGACAAACCTGCCCAGCCAATACTGGCCCTGGGAACCAACCCTCTCTACCACCCACCCTCTACTCTCACCCCTCAACCTTTTAAGCTCTCCCACTTATTACTTCATAATCATTATTTAGTCCTCTCCGACTTTCACAATGGCTATTAATACGTAATTTCACACAAAATATTACAACGTACAAGTCGTTGTTTGAAGGAGAATGTAATATGTTAAGAGTTAAGATATCTCCACCTTGAAATGTTACTAGCGGAGCCCCACAAGGTTCACTTTGTAATTAATGTTAATGACTTGTGTAAGGCGGAATAAAAAAAACTATCTGAACATAAATGAAAATTTACACGCAACAGACTAACAAATACCGGCCAATTTACATAGAGGAAATGAAACATTAGTGAGTACTACACATTTCGGCACATAGGTGAAGAGGGCCTTAACTTAAAGGTGAAATACACGATATTCATAACAACATAAGAACGAAGGAACACTGCAGAAGGCCTACTGGCCCATGCGAGGCAGGTCCAAGTCTCCTACTGGCTTAAGCCAATGCACCCAACCTAGTCAGGTCAGGTCACATTGACTTAAGGGAGGAACACGGCAACCGACCTGGTAGCACAAGCTATCAGGTCCAACTCACACCCACCCACATCCACTCATGTATTTATCCAACATATTCTTCACAGGTTTCGTTTTATGTTCTTCGTATGGGCTCGTTTGTATCCTTATGATATATTTATCATAAGACTTTCCTATCTTCCTTTATAATATAAAGAGCTACAAAAAGACTTGGTTAAATAAAGGCAAAGACGAAGCAAGGAATTTAATAATAGAGGCAACAGAAATGGGAGTAAATAATAACGGCAGAAATTCAGAGTGTCATAAAATACAGGAAACTGCGAAGAGATAAAGATGAGTCACTGTAGACATGACTGACATATCTATAACATCGTAAGTAAAGATGAGAGTCACTGTAGACATGACTGACATATCTATAACATCGTAAGTAAAGATGAGAGTCACTGTAGACATGACTGACATATCTATAACATCGTAAGTAAAGATGAGAGTCACTGTAGACATGACTGACATATCTATAACATCGTAAGAAAAACTGCAATATGTAGCGGTACTTGTTTTTAACGGCAATGATAGTTCCTACCATGGTAGAGCGAGGGGTGAGAGAGAGAGAGAGCGAGGGGTGAGAGAGAGCGAGGGGTGAGAGAGCGAGGGGTGAGAGAGAGAGGGGTGAGAGAGAGAGAGGGGTGAGAGAGAGCGAGGGGGTGAGAGAGAGCGAGGGGTGAGAGAGAGAGCGAGGGGTAAGAGAGAGCGCGAGGGGTGAGAGAGCGAGGGGTGAGAGCGAGGGGTGAGAGAGCGAGGGGTGAGAGAGAGAGCGAGGGGTGAGAGAGCGAGGGGTGAGAGGAGAGCGAGGGGTGGAGAGAGAGCGAGGGGTGAGAGAGGAGGGGGTGAGAGAGCGAGGGGTGAGGAGAGAGCGAGGGGTGAGAGAGCGAGGGGTGAGAGAGAGCGCGAGGGGTGAGAGAGAGAGCGAGGGGTGAGAGAGAGCGAGGGGTGAGAGAGAGAGCGAGGGGTGAGGAGAAAGCGAGGGGTGAGAGAGCGAGGGGTGAGAGAGAGAGCGAGGGGTGAGAGAGAGAGCGAGGGGTGAGAGAGAGAGAGCGAGGGGGGTGAGACGAGGGGAGGAGCGAGGGTGGAGAGAGAGCGAGGGGTGAGAGAGAGCGAGGGTGAGAGAGGCGAGGGGTGAGAGAGAGCGAGGGGTAGAGAGAGCGAGGGGTGAGAGAGAGCGAGGGGTGAGAGAGAGCGAGGGGTGAGAGAGGCGAGGGGTGAGAGAGAGCGAGGGGTGAGAGAGAGGGGGAGGGTGAGAGAGGAGCGAGGGGTGAGAGAGAGAGCGAGGGGTGAGAGAGAGCGAGGGTGAGAGAGCGTGGAGAGAGAGAGCGAGGGGTGAGAGAGAGAGCGAGGGGGTGAGAGAGAGCGAGGGGGTGAGAGAGAGCGAGGGGTGAGAGAGAGCGAGGGGTGAGAGAGAGGGGAGGTGGAGAGAGAGAGAGAGAGCGAGGGGTGAGAGAGAGCGAGGTGAGAGAGAGAGAGCGAGGGGGTGGATGGGTGGGAGAGGGGGGTGTGAGAGAGAGAGAGTGAGAAGGGGAGAGAGAGAGGAGAGAGAAGGAGAGAGAGAGAGGAGGAGAGAGAGAGGTGAGAGAGAGAGGTGAGAGAGAGGGTGAGAGAGAGAGGTGAGAGAGAGAGGTGAGAGAGAGAGGTGAGAGAGAGAGGTGAGAGAGAGAGGTGAGAGAGGTGAGAGAGAGAGTGAGAGAGAGAGGTGAGAGAGAGAGGTGAGAGAGAGAGGTGAGAGAGAGAGGTGAGAGAGAGAGAGAGAGGAGAGAGAGGTGAGAGAGAGTGAGAGGTGAGAGAGAGAGGTGGAGAGAGAGAGGAGAGAGAGAGGAGAGAGAGAGAGAAGGAGAGAGAGAGAAGAGGGGTAGAGAGGAGAGAGGGTGAGAGGAGGTGAGAGAGTGAGAGAGAGAGTGAAGAGAGGAGAGAGAGGTGAGAGGAGGGAGAGAGGGAGAGGGGAGAGAGAGTGAGAGAGAGAGTGAGAGAGAGAGGAGAGAGTTGAGAGAGAGAGAGAGGTGAGAGAGGGAGAGAGAGAGAGGAGAGGTAAGAGAGGGAGGAGAGAGAGCGAGAGGTGAGAGAGAGCGAGGGGTGAGAGAGAGGAGAGAGAGAGAGGAGGGTGAGAGAGAGAGGAGAGAGAGAGGAGAGACGAGGGGTGAGAGAGAGAGGGTGAGAGAGAGAGCGAGGAGAGGAGAGCAGAGGTAGAGAGCGAGGGGTGTGAGAGAGAGTGAGAGAGAGGGAGAGAGAGGGAGAGGTGAGAGAGAGAGAGTAAGTCAGCAGGGTGGAGCAGATCATGGAAGTAAGAGAAAGTGTCAGGGCTGCATCCTCGGAAGAATGTACAGTGAGGGTAAAGAGAATAGAGCATGAATTTTGAGTATGTGTAGAGAGAAGGAAGCATAGGATGAAAGGTACAGCGTTTAAGCCAGAGACAAGACAGAGAAAAGAATCAATTGCTGACTTGAGAATAAAAATAAAACTGTGCCTGAAAGATATAAAATTGTTGCAGAAAATTCTAGTGGCAGGTATAAAGTGAATCCTTGACCAGGTAGGTATAAAGAGCATAGCACAAGTGAATCCTTGACCAGGTAGGCATAAAGGTAGCAAAGCACAAGTGAATCCCTGAGCAGGTAGCAGATACGACACCTGGATAAAGTGCACCAGAAGCTTGGCTAAACAAGTAAGCTTAGAATTTCTCTATCTTACCTCCCCCCAACCTGAGTGAGATAGTTTTGAGAGAGAGAGGGGGAGGGGGGAGAGGGAGGGGGAGGGGGGAGAGAGGGAGGGGGAGAGGATTTCAATTATATTATATTCATGGGGAAGAACTAGACCCGTAGAGGCTCATACAGCGCCTGAGGAACGGGAGGCAATCAAGTTTGATCCCAGGAAAAGGAACTTAGCCCCAGCGCTTTGGATAAAAATCCCTTCTAGGCACCCCCTTGAAGAGAGATTTCAATGCATCCTTCAGTAAGAATCTATTAACATAATTTGTGGGCTATTATTAATTATAATAACCCGGCACTGCCTGCGTATATCTCTAAGTTACAAATGTATATATTTTATATGATTTTTTACTGGGATATTCACTTGAGAAGTGATCCCAGACACTTGTGACCACAGACAAAGGTGTAGCCCTTCAACTAGGTTGAACGGTATATAAATGTATGTAGATAAATTTTCGTTATTAATTCTTCCCCTAGTATAAAAAGCTTTCCCTGGTTCTGCCGTGTCAGGAGGCAGGTGTGGGGGTCTCACACCTCTACAGTGTATCTTAGGATCACAGCAATAATATGATGCCCACAAAATGTCAAGGGGGCACCACCCCCAAATAAATTTGAGTGCTTTATAATTTTAGAAATCAGAATAAAAAGACAGTTAAATCAGAGTCATTCAACCATATAAAAAAATGCCTCTCATCTAAAATTTCGTAATGTTGTATAGCCTAAGACCTGTTCGTGGCTACAAGGAAGCCTATTACAGTGGCTGCACTAACTTCCATGGAGACAGTTATAGTAAAACAAACCTACAAACTTCCACAATTATTATTATATTCACGAGGAAGTGCTAAACTCACAAAGGTTATCACTGGGAAGACTGATGTGTTGTTCGTCATGTTTGTTAATATAACATCCTAATTCCGTTTTGTTTTACCCGGGCAGTGTGACCTGAGGGAGTGTGACCTGAGGGAGTGTGACCTGAGGGAGTGCGACCTGAGGGAGTGCGCTGCCCAAGCATTCATTAAAATCCAAGATTTTACTGAGATACGGAAGAAAGTGGGAATAAAAGCAGCACAATTTAAAACCACGTGTCACCTTGCACGTCCAGGAACTTAAAGAAGGTTATGGTCATTAATTACAATATCTTCAAACATTGTCATAAGTGATAATACTCAACACTAATACTAGTGGTGGTAATAACATTAGTCTCTTAGAGGTTTAAAATAAACGAGACTGATATGGAGAGAGAGAGAGAGAGAGAGAGAGAGAGAGAGAGAGAGAGAGAGAGAGAGAGAGAGAGAGAGAGAGAGAGAGAGAGAGAGAGAGAGAGAGAGAGAGAGAGAGAGAGAGAGAGAGAGAGAGAGAGAGAGACTGACTCCCAGGTGCAAAAACGTAAGCTTATGAAATCCTTCCCCCAACATAAATATACATATTAACGATTCTTACTGTACTGTCTGCAAGATATATCTATGTATGAAATCACCATTAACAGAGTCTAATTTCTATACGATCCGTGATGGTGAGTGATGTGTGGTGATGGTTGTACATGTGAGGGGGGAGGGAGGGATGGGTTATAAACCCATGATACACACAGACACATGAGGCGGTGCCGCCAGTATGTGCTGGTGGAACCAATGATTCAGACACCTTATTAAGTATGAAGGATGCAGAAGTAAACCATCTGGTGTGGTTTACAGTATCTGACACTGTTATGTCTCTTTACAGATGAGGATGTTGTGGCGTGCGTGGATGTTGGGCGTGGTGATGGTGGTGGGCGTGGCGCGGTGTGAGGACCGCTGGGTGTGGGGTAACATCAAGGCCTCCAGTATCCCCGGCTACGTAGAACCCACTACCGCCTCGCCGCTCGAACCAACCACCTTCCGTCCACAATATCAACCGGTTGGGCGAGCGGCGGCTTCCCAACTACGTCACTTTCCCCGCGTCACCGCTAACCCTTACTTTGTAAACGCCTTCCAGCCCTTCTCACTAGTGCCGCCGCCCCGTACGTCCTCTGATGGCACTACTAAGAGTCGCGTGACGACCGATACGGCCTTCGACGGCGCCAGTGGAGCAGTGCTGGATGCCGGGGACAAGTACACCACACTGGACCGTCTGCAGAGTGAGCGAGGGGCTCCTCCTGCCTTCCCCCGCCCGGAGAAACACCAGCTAGGCGGCCTCCACCCTGACGAGGTGTTCTACGCTGACGACGATCTCCTCATCATCAAGGGAGGAGGCTTCAACTCTGACGCGTTCGAGGAGCCGTCTCAGCCACTGGATGCTGACGACGACGATATCAGAGAGGGGTCGGCCACCAGGGTGTCATCAGTAGTGGCTCCTCTACCTTCCCCTCACCAGGAGTACAACGGCAACATCCCCGCCATAGTGCCTTACCCGCAACGAATGAGTCACCAGCCCCTCTCCCTCTTTGTTGAAGGAGCCTCAACCAACAACTACATCTTAGTTCCTTACGTCTTCCAACAACCTGGAGTCGGCGTAGCCACGGCTGATGGAACCTTCAATAATCACATTGACAACAGTTACGTGAATTTGCGGAAGCCCTTGAAGAGTGCGCAGTACGTGTACCATATTCCTTACCAGCCAGTTTTTCTTACACACCATAACATCATCCCAGTTGTACCGCAGGTGCAGCAGCACCCCAGCACCCTACAGCAGGCGCAGCAGCACCCCAGCACCCTACAGCAGGTACAACAGCACCCCAGCACCCTACAGCAAGTGCAACAGCACCCTAGCACTCTCAAACTGCCACACTCTCTTGCTGGCGACACTGCCGTCAACTATAGGCACCCACGGCCACCAATCAATCCTGACGCAGAGCTTGTGGTTCCATCTAGCACCTCTAGTGCCAACTTCTTCTACCCCGGCAGCAATCGCCGTCAGCAGAGCAGACCCAGGCTGTGAGCTCCACATACACCTACACAACACATCCTAACAGATACAAAAGAAAAAAAACGCATCTTCTGCCCACCACACAACACACTAACTTTCACACAATACGAACATACACTGCTCTAGCGTGAATACACACACACACACACACACCTCTGCTCACCAAAACACACAGCAACGAAACACAAGCACAAAAACACACACACACAAGTCTCTGCTTTTAGCCACAACACCCCCACCACACATACTCACCTCTAACACAACCACACTGCATTCAAATGTGCCTTGCCGTCTATCTTCCTTTTGTACAGTAGTATAAGTATATGTAATTTAGTTTATATATAATATATATACATATATATTAAAAACTATGAACTATATACTATTTTTATTGTCCTGTACACACATTAGAGACAAAGACTGAAGGTGAAGGATGGGTAGGAGAATCACTGAGCTTCAATTACCACATATGTTGCGACATGTAACACTTTGATCAATCATCGTCGCCGCGGCAGTCACATGACATCACAAATTTATTAATATATAAAAATTATTATTTATATTCACAAAGAGCCAAAAGGCTGCGGGAAGTAATGAAACACAAACTTCCAAGTCAACAAGGAACAGACTGAATATACAGATTCCAGGCTGAGGGACTGATTACCTCCTACTTCTCATCTTCCTCTGTTATTCTCTGTATTGGACTGAAGAAGCCACTGGCTGGAGAAACGCTTCCACAATAAAGATTCCCAAATGTTGCACAAGTGTCTCATTCTTCAACTTAGCGGTTTTCAAAGCCATTTTCATCAAAAGGAATGCTAAAGTTACACCAATAAATCAGTTTCCATGGGAAAAAATCGTAGTAAAGTGGGGGATTAGAAGGAGAGCAGATAACGTGAGAGCAGCTACTAGGTTCTGGGGAAAAAACATTGAAAATAGCCCTTTAGAAAATAGAATATTTAGCACAAAGGATGTTCAACTATGAACACTACTTGGGAGGTTCATAATGAATGCACGTGCAACACCTCGGTAACTTCATCCAGAAACTTGCCGCCTACACTGAAGCATTCTTCAGTCACGTATAGAAGAGTTAGCAGAAAGAATAGAGATGTGAAGACGATACAATCAGTCCATCATCCTTCAATATGTAGTTTTGAGGGGAATCAGTCCCTCCCACCTCAAAAATGCGAGAACAATTTTCCCAAGCGCAAAAACGATTAAAATACGTCGACAAAGAGACCTCAAACTGAAAAGCAATTACAAAAATTACCCGGAATCTGTATCGATTTAAATCGAGAATGGGCAAATTATGTTGATATTGGCTAATGTTTATGTTAACGGCATCTATAACTTCCTCTTAATGCCCTTCCCTAACACTACCTGTATGGTGTCCTTCCCTAACACTACCTGTATGGTGTCCTTCCCTAACACTACCTGTATGGTGTCCTTCCCTAACACTACCTGTATGGTGTCCTTCCCAACACTACCTGATGGTTGTCCTTCCCTAACACTACCTGTATGGTGCCTTCCCTAACACTACCTGTATGGTGCCCCTTTCCCCTAACACTCCCTTTAAATGTGTCCTTCCTAACACTACCTGTATGGGGTCTTCCTAACACTACCTGTATGGTGTCCTTCCCTAACACTACCTGTATGGTGTCCTTCCCTAACACTACCTGTATGGTGTCCTTCCCTAACACTACCTGTATGGTGTCCTTCCCTAACACTACTTAGGTGTCCTTCCCTAAACACAAACCTGATGGTGTCCTTCCCTAACACTACCTGTATGGGTCCTTCCCTAACACTACCTGTATGGCGTCCTTTCCCTAACTACCTGTATGGGTCCTTCCCTAACACTACCTGTATGGTGTCCCTTCCCTAACACTACTTTTATGGGCCCTTCCCTAACAACTACCTGTATGGTGCCCTTCCCCTAACACTACCTGTATGGTCCTTCCCTAACACTACCTTATGGCGCCCTTTCCCTAACACACCTGTATGGCGTCCTTCCCTAACACTACCTGTTGGCGTCCTTCCCTAAACTACCTGTATGTGTCCTTCCCTAACACTACCTGTAGGGCGCCCTTCCCTAAAAACAACCTGTATGGCGCCTTTCCCCTAACACTACCTGTATGGGTCCTTCCCTAAACTACCTGATGCGCCCCCCTTTAACACTACCTGTAGGGTCCCTCCCTAACACTACCGTTTTGGGTCCTTCCCTAACACTACCTTAGGGTTTCCCTTTCCCTAACATACCGTAGTTCCTCCTAACACACCTGATGGTGTCCTTCCCTAACACTACCTGTATGTGTCCTTCCCAAACCCACTACCTGTAGGGTGTCCTTCCCTAACACTACCTGTATGGTGCCTTCCCAACACACCTTTTATGTCCCTTCCCTAACACTACATGTATGGCGTCCTTCCCTAACACTACCTGTATGGCGCCCTTTCCCCTAACATACCTGTATGGTGTCCTTCCCTAACACTACCTTAGGGTTTGTCCTTCCCTAACACTCCCTGTAGGGTTTGTCCTTCCCTAACACTACCTGTATGGTGCCCTTCCCAAACCCACTACCTGTATGGTGCCCTTCCCTAACACTACCTGTATGGTGTCCTTCCCTAACACTACCTGTAGGGTTTGCCCTTCCCTAACACTACCTGTATGGTGTCCTTCCCTAACACTACCTGTATGTGCCCTTCCCTAACCTACCTGTATGGTGTCCTTCCCTAACATTTACCTGTATGGTGCCCTTCCCTAACACTACCTGTAGGGTTTGTCCTTCCCCCTAACACAACATGTTATGGCGTCCTTCCCTAACACAAACCTGTATGGTGTCCTTCCTAACTTACTGTATGGTGCCCTTCCCTAACACTACATGTATGGCGTCCTTCCCTAAAAACTACCTGTATGGTGTCCTTCCCTAACACTACCTGTATGGTGTCCTTCCCTAACACTACCTGCATGGTGCCCTTCCCTAACACTACATGTATGGCGTCCTTCCCTAACACTACCTGTATGGCGTCCTTCCCTAACACTACCTGTATGGTGTCCTTCCCTAACACTACCTGTATGGTGCCCTTCCCTAACACTACATGTATGGCGTCCTTCCCTAACACTACCTGTATGGGCGTCCTTCCCAAAACACTACCTGTATTGGTGTCCTTCCCTAACACTACCTGTATGGTGTCCTTCCCAAAACACTCCCCTGTTTGGTGTCCTTCCCTAACATACCTGTATGGTGTCTTCCCTAACATACCTGTATGGTGTCCTTCCCTAACACTACCTGTATGGTGTCCTTCCCTAACACTACCTGTATGGTGTCCTTCCCTAACACTACCTTTTATGGTGCCCCTTCCCTAACACTACCTGTAATGGTGCCCTTCCCTAACACTACATGTATGGCGTCCTTCCCTAACACTACCTGTATGGTGTCCTTCCCTAACACTACCTGTATGGTGTCCTTCCCTAACACTACCTGTATGGTGTCCTTCCCTAACACTCCTGTATGGTGTCCTTCCCTAACACACCTGTATGGTGTCCTTCCTAACACTACCTGTATGGTGTCCTTCCCTAAATACCTGTATGGTGCCCTTCCCTAACACACCTGTATGGTGCCCTTCCCTAACACTACCTGTATGGTGTCCTTCCCTAACACTACCTGTATGGTGTCCTTCCCTAACACTACCTGTATGGTGTCCTTCCCTAACACTACCTGTATGGTGTCCTTCCCTAACACTACCTGTATGGTGTCCTTCCCTAACACTACCTGTATGGTGCCCTTCCCTAACACTACCTGTATGGTGCCCTTCCCTAACACTACCTGTATGGTGTCCTTCCCTAACACTACCTGTATGGTGTCCTTCCCTAACACTACCTGTATGGTGTCCTTCCCTAACACTACCTGTATGGTGTCCTTCCCTAACACTACCTGTATGGTGTCCTTCCCTAACACTACCTGTATGGTGTCCTTCCCTAACACTACCTGTATGGTGTCCTTCCCTAACACTACCTGATGGTGTCCTTCCCTAACCCTACCTGTATGGTGTCCTTCCCTAACACTACCTGTATGGTGTCCTTCCCTAACACTACCTGTATGGTGTCCTTCCCTAACACTACCTGTATGGTGTCCTTCCCTAACACTACCTGTATGGTGTCCTTCCCTAACACTCCCTGAAATGGTGTCTTCCCTTTAACACTACCTGTATGGTGCCCTTTTCCCCAACATTTACCTGTATATATTTTATATATTATTAATATATATATATATATATATATATATATTTTATATATATAAATTGGTAGTAGGTTGGTAGACAGCAACCCCCCAGGGAGGTACTACGTCCTGCCAAGTGAGTGTAAAAACGAAAGCCTGTAATTGGTTTTACATGATGGTAGGATTGCTGGTGTCTTTTGTCTGTCTCATAAATATGCAAGATTACAGGTACGTCTTGCTACTTCTACTTACACTTAGGTCACACTACACATACATGTACACGTTTATTTATACACACTCATCTGAGTTTTCTTTGATTTTTTTCTTAATAGTTCTTGGTCTTATTACTTTTCCTTTTATATCCATGGGGAAGTGGAATAAGAATCTTTCCTCCGTAAGCCATGCGTGTTGTAAAAGCAACTAAAATGCCGGGAACAATGGGCTAGTACCCCTTTTCCTGTAAAGATTACTAAAAAGAATAAGAAGAAGAAAATTGTCAAAGTGGGAAGTCTGAATGTGCGTGGATGTTGTGCAAATGATAAGAAAGAGATGATTGTGGATGTTATGAATGAGAAGAAACTGGATGTCCTGGCTTTAAGTGAAACAAAGCTGAAGGGGGTGGGAGAGTTTCAATGGAGAGGAATAAATGGGGTTAGGTCAGGGTTTCAAATAGAGTTAGAGCTAAAGAAGGAGTAGCAATAATGTTGAAGGATAAGCTATGGCAGGAAAAGAGGGACTACAAATGTATAAATTCAAGGATTATGTGGATTTAAAAAAAAGATTTGGGTTTGGAAAAGTGGGTTATAGTAAGCATGTATGCACCTGGAGAAGAGAGAAGTGTAGAGGAGAGAGAGAGATTCTGGGAAATGTTGGGGTGAATGCGTGGGAGTTTTGAAAACAAGTGTGAGAGTAATGGTGGTTGGGATTTCAATGCTAAAGTGGGTAAAAAATGTTATGGAGGGAGTAGTAGGTAATTTTGGGGTTTCCAGGGGTAAATGTAAATAGGGAGCCCTTTTAAATTGAGCATGTGTAGAAAGAAATTTGGTAATAAGTAATACATATTTTATGAAAAAGAGGATAAATAAATATACAAGGTATGATGTAGCACGTAATGAAAGTAGTTTGTTAGATTATGTATTGGGGGATAAAAGGTTGATGAGTAGGCT